CAACAGGACCACCACTTGAAAGCTTGAGTGGCATTTTAAAAATGAACTAATGGGGGGGGGGATGCCACTACAAAGCTAGAAGAAGCACAATTAAAACAAAAGGGCTCTCGTGGGAGTACGTGTAGCTTAATCAGCTTGAAAAATATCAACCAGTGACTTTGTTCAAGACTTTTTAAAACTTTAATGTTCCTCCTATTCCCGTGACAGAAATCCCAATATACAGCCTCTCTTGCCTCCTCCAGTCCCCTGCCCTCCACTTATAATGTCCACAAAAACAGCACGCACACATGCTGGGGTGCGTAAATGAAAGGTTCCACCTAATGACAAGGTAAGCCTAGTCCAAGTAATACCTCAAAGATTTCGTTTGGGAGTGGTGGTACCCCATCCACCACAATCAGCTGAAGCCTACAGAACCTCCAAGCGCACAGGGGTAGGTAGTCGCACACATTCGTCCACACACAAGTAAAAGCTTCACAAATGTATACAAAACAAAGTCACCGGTGAATAAATAAATCGAATTGAATCGATTTGGGAAAACGGTCACCCAAACAGTCTCCGAAATGTAAGGGGAAAAAAAAGGATTAAGGGCATAGATTTTTTGACAAATGCTGCGTTTTAAAAGCTTTTTGGAAATGCACCGTAAGCATAATTGAACATGGAAGAGAAGACATTTACTGCGCAACTGGACAAAAAATTGATGGATTCACGGAATAAAAAGGTCACAGAGACAGAAATGGGAAAAGAAAGTCAGTGGCTCCGAAACATAAAAAGGACTCCATTTTGAATATTCTATGATTATCCAGAAAAAGCAAAAATATTTAGTCAAAAGCTTCAGCCACGTAACATGAGAAACACTGACTAAAAAAAATAACCCAATTTAGGCAGTTGAAGCCAACTCAAAAAGAAACAACAGTAAAACTCAGACGAAGGAGAAACTCGCCCTCTAATCACTCTGCTCCTAGTTGAGGTCAGCCTCCGCTCCCACCAGCCAGCGATTAAACCCTTCAATCACGGCCATTTTTCATTTTTAATGGAAATTCTCTCATTTGCGGCCGCAGATGATGAGCCTTGTGATACATGAACGGGGAAAGATGACTCAAGCTGGCGTCATCTGTGCCCAAACCAATAAAACGCGATACACTTACAATTAACTGGAGAGCCTGGGACCCGAGAGGGCTATGATTCACGGCCGTTGTGGCTCTTCTCACTCAGAGCCTTAACCCTGTCTCATACTCCCATGATGTTTTCACTCAGTGGGTACATTTGCCTCAGGTTAATGGTCGTTTTGATCCGTTGTACGGACAGCTTTAGAGAACGTATAGAGCAGATCCAGATTACTCTTTAGATTTATACCCAATCCAATGGTTTTAATATGTTCGTTTTTAGAAATAAATGACTAAAATACTCATTTCTGGGTTCTTCTATTGGAACCACAAAACAATTAATCATAATTAAGGAGGAAAAAAAGAAAACACAAGTCTTGAATACTCCTTGAATACTCCAGATCCTCTATGCTATCACTAAACTCAGCATTGTGAAACTCTTTGAAGAGTCTTTAGAATTTTTCTTTTTAAGTCCAGTCAGTCTTTATGGACACCAGAGACTAAGAACTGTGACCTTTAAGTCACAAGATGTTCTTTGTACATTAGGCCAATGATCCCTCCCTTCCTCCCTCCTCCCTATTCATCAAATCGCACCTCACCTCCTCCCACCCTGTCCTCCCACTCAGAGCTCTAAAACAGAAGTTGGCTCATCAGGACAGATGTAGCCGCATGGCACCATTACATCACATCAATCAACGCCTCTGCACACCCCGATAAGAAAAATAAGGGGGAGCACGAATCCTCCTACTCATGTAATTAGGTAATTATGGGAAACGTATGATGGATCGCTGTTTTTGAAACCATTGAGGCAGATTGACCGAGGACGCGATTATTTCGACGGCTTGTTTTCGGCTCAGAACAGAGAGGTCTAATAAGGGCTTTTCTTTTCTGCTTCGCAATACCTGGCTGCATGTGAGCAAACGCCTGTCAGTTAGTCAGCCAGGCAGCATTTGGCATTATGTGGACCTGTTAAACTTTTGAAATCTGCACCGTTGCCATGTATAGATTTTCTTGCCTTCTATTCATCTTAGGAGTCAGTGCAGTCAATTAGGTGTAGAAGTTATGGAAACGATCCCTTTACAGTCATGAGAGCTTTTTGCTACTGCAGGCCACTCCAAAATGGAGACACGTGATTTGGAAGAGCAACCAGAAATTGAGCAGAATTTTGCCTTTTACCATTAGGATGAGTGGAAATGATGAAAGAGATAAACTGGGACTTCATTACCTTCTGAAAGAACCTTCAGAGATGATTCTATAATAGAGTTATTATAAAGATAATACATTTAAAAAAAACTAATCAGGAGTCATAGTCTCACTGCAGTGCTTATCCTTATAGGAACCCTGCTTTTATAATCATGTTTACTGAATCGCACTACATAGGGTGTGGTATTTTACCTTGAAAGCTTTAAATCGCTCAAATATTTTTTCATTCAGCTTTAATTTAGTCCACTTGAGTCAATCTGCTCATCAAAGTGTATCAAAGTAGAAAACCGCTTACTTTCTTTATCTTTAAAAGCGGTTCTCTCAGAAAGAGACTTGAAATAACAAATGAATTAACTGAGAAATCAGTAAATTGGTCTGAAACCAAATTAAGCACGCTGTTTAAAGAAGTGTGAAGTGGAACGGGGTTGATTACCGCATTAGTGCGAGGACGCGGCTCACTCACCGCTCTCCTTTTCATGTCGGGCGCAGTTGTTGATGGACTCCGAGAGGCCCAGAGTGGCTGACGAAGGCATCGTTCCCAGGATGGAGGCCAGAGACGGGCATCTTCGCTTTGGGACGTGCCCCTCCTCCTCCTCCTCCTGGTTCACCTCTTCTTCCTCCTCCGGTCGCTTCTGCTCAAGCTTAATCAGAGCTTCCAGCGTGAGCTCATCAAGCTCTCTGCCAAAGTGCTTCGCCACGGCATGAAGCTCGTCATCCTCATCTGTGTCCTCATTATCTGACAGCTTAGACGATGTACAGCTAGTGTCATTGTCTGGAGGATGAGCTGTGGGGAGAAATGAAGCGATATTAGAGTAGGAAAATTCTACTTAAAAGCAGGAAAGTGCTGGTTATAGTTGTTTCCACGTGGGACTGGCCATGTGTCTGTTTCATAAACAAAAAAAAAAACATTAAAATTAAGGAGAAGCTTTATTTTCGCATATCAGTGTAATTTCTTCACTAGTTGAATCTTTTTTAATCTCAGTTTTCTCAATGCCAACCATAAACGGTCCTATAAATGCACATTGTATAAATCAACTTGCATAGATAAGATCTATATGAAGTATGATATACAGATTACAGCAGGTGATTCATTTTCTAAATCTGTGGGCATTTGTAGGGAGAGAACACAGAAGATTCTCGGAACTCGTTAAACAGCTAACTTTTTCATCAATAAAACTTGTGAAATTAAGCTATATGGCATCAATGCTCATCGAGCTATTCAAAGCAGAATGGATGTGTTTTAAACTACAAATAAAGTGTTTCTGCTTACCTTTATATTCTAGCTTTTATTATGGAGCTAACAGAGACCCACAATTCTGTGGGGTTTAATAATTTTCCTTAACTGTGCATCGTAGTTATAGCTTTCTAATTAAAAACAGTTAAGCTATAGGGAAACAAAAACAATTACTTTAACTTTTTTCAAGGCAACCGCAATTTAATTTGAAAAAAAAAAAGAAATTTAAAAAGCAGATCAACTGCCGCGAGAGCTGAATAATTACTCCGTTTCCAAAATCACAGGGAACAAAAATATTAACATCCAGACAAAATAATTGGGGTCATAGATGTAGCCATTGTGATACCTAATTAAAATGTGCCCTTTAATCAACATAATTAAAACATCCCCTCGCAGCATTCAGCCTATAAGTAAAAAAAATCAGCTTAGTCTGAGACTTATAAGGGGAAAAAATTGAACAAAAAAAGGCCTGTGTGTTATGAAAGTGTTGTAGCAGCACCAGAGGAACATGACGGATATTTCCCTTCCCTCCCCTCCCCCCCGCGGTGTGAAAAGCAGGGCACACCGAAAGCGTTTTTGTATGAGAGAGGCAGACACACAGAGCCGCAGATAAAGAGGCAAAGGTAGAAAAAGATAAGGGGAAAGCAGACAGCCAGAGCAAGCGGTTTTCTGTTACTTCACTTGGGTGGCCGGTGTGTGTATGTCGTCTCTGGAGAAAGGCAACAGCCCAGAGTTCTCGTCCTATCTGAGTGGCACACTAAAGCGTCACCTCACACTCGCGTGGAAACACATCTGTCCCGTGCGGCTAAGTGGACAGCGGCTGCTTGTGGCACGGCTCCCGTGTTTCATTTAGGAATGAGGAATTATGATTTCCAGGTCAGGATTCGTGGTGTGCTTAAGCACAAGCTGTGAATCAATGTCACGATGGGCAATTTTGTCTTTATTTAGAGCTTAAGTATGTAGGTGTTTGTTTTTCTTCTTGTGAACGGAGTCATTTCAATTTGATTTTTCATTTTTTGGTCTTTTTAGAATCAACTCTTCACGGTCAGTGATTGTGCAAGTTTTATCTGTCTTATCTTTATCTAATTGGGATCAGCAGCTTACATCGGTGACAAACTTTATGCTGAGAATTACAACATTTGAAGTATTCAGAGAAACAGAAGACACTGGGAGGGCCAACATTATTAATTGGAACAAGCACAGTGGTGCAATCACACGCATAAATACATTTTTGGAGGCGAGAATGCTCTGTACTTTGAATAAATTTAGCTTTTTGTGCTTACACCAGGTTTCTCATTGCGATCGAGTGCCATTCGTCCCTTTTAAGTTGCTTTACATAAAAGTGTCTACCTAAAAGTAAAACCCTTCCATTAATCGTGTCGTCCAAGTTTCCTTATTGACTTTCCGACATGGCTGCGTTTAGCGGCTCATCCATTTTACACTCGTCCATCTGTATGTATTTATATGAATGACAAGAACTTGGAATCATAGCCTGTAGAACAGATAAATGAGGGCTGAACTACCAGAGATAGATTTAGGTGCTTTTTAAAACTTTCTAGCATTCCATTTACACTCTCTGCATCTTTAATATTATTGACAAAACACTCTTTGAATGAATCTTTTATGACAATGTACACACTGATGTTCAACAAGCCATTAGCTTATCCACACTTTCTTAGCAAAACGTAATGATGTCAAGATCAATTTCTCACATACCTACTGTATCTTAAATACATCTGTAAACAGAGAAATTTCGAAAATCGACAGCCTCTGGATAAAGTAGTTCAAATATTCAGTGCTATAACCTTGAAGCTTAAGGCTTAACATAACATCCAGGAATTTAATTTCTATTTTCTTTGTTATTTCTCCTTTTTTTAATCATTTTGCAGGCTGGCTTCCGAATTTCCTCACCTTCGTTAGCATAAGCAGCATACACTCCTCTCAGTTTTGGTCTTCTGCTCTCCAGCTCGGCATCTATTTCATCCTGGTACTCTTGGATTTCATCTGTTCATTAAAAAAAAGTCAATTTGTAAAGAAAGTGCGGCAGTTAAAGTAAATACTCCGACAATAGATTAGACCTGCGCTGCAGAGCTTTGTGTGGCATTCTCACAAGTTACCAAACCTTGCAATTATACTTTCCTTAGGTCTGAATCACATCGGCACCAGACATAACGGTTCACTGCATCTCGCGGCAAGCTAAATCACATTTAAAAATGTGGAGCTCTCGTCTCTCTGTGTCATATTAATTCTCCAAGACTTAATCAGAAAGCACTCCTGCATTAAAACATGATCAGCCACAAAAATAACAACAACAAAAAAAAACATCTTTGACGGAGTATTAAGGGTTGACCCTGTGATGGACAGCTGGGACAGGCTCCACCCACCCAATGACCATTAAATGGATGGAGTGGGTGTAGGGAATGGATGTGGCAGATGATGAATCCGTACCTTCAACGTCACCAATCTTTTTCTTCAGCTCCATCTCCAACTAAAGAAAATGTGAAAAAAAAGTGACACGGTATGAGACAATTACCTTTTTCTCAAGTGAGTTTAGAGAGAGAGGACGATGCGGTAAAACATCTTGGTATGAAAGAACCTGGTGGCTGACACCATGTCCATTTTTATGTCCTTTTTTCCTCCCTTAAGTGTGTTACTCGCTTAAGTTTTGTATGTTACTGCCCTTCAGCTGCGTGGCAAACATCCCAGGTCCTGTATAAGCTATCAAACTATCTTACTAGGGGAAAAGAAAAACTCTGAACTTTACACAGACTGGAGTTACATTTGTATAGAAAAAGAAAGTTGTTCAACTTTTCAACTCATTTCACTGCCTTTCATCACTTGGAGTTTGTGTCTGCCGTTACATAAAAGCAAATTAGAACGTGGCTCACATGGTCTGTCCCACTTGTCAGACAGATCCTTTTCACCATCTCCCAAAGAAGAAAAGAACAATCGTTTTAATCTTATCTGTCAAACCGCTCTTTTTTTTGCTAATCAATTAAGCCAAAGTTGAAACATTTTAAACATAAACTCACTTATAAATGAATATTTAATGGTCTCTGATGAGTGGGCACATCTTCAGTGTTAGAACCAATGTGGACCGCCTTGGCTTAAAACATTAAATATGCCTTCAGATAAAAATGTGGCACCAACAAACGCAGCCAGTTTGAGTGGCTGGAAACAGCAAATGTTCTGGATTTCCAAGGGATCCGTTTAACAGCTGCAGAGTTTTAACGTCTCCGATTCTCATAATATACATGTTCGGAATGTTTTAGGGCCGCCGTCTGTTGGCAGGTCTGAGGCTCTGCTCTATTAGACCTACTGGAAGCGCTCCAGCTTTGTCCTGAAACCCAAAACGCTACTTGCTTGCCGTCTCCGTCTTGTGATTTGCTAATAACATTTTGTTTTCTCGGTGGGGCCACGGATTGTTGAGATGTTTTCCTGAGCGGGTCTGTTAGGACGTGCTACCGCGGCAACAGGGACGTTGACTGCGAGTGCGAACGTCTAATTGAGCTTTCCAAAACCCAATGCCTGAAATAATGCGCCAAATCCAGAACTAGAGAAGGCTGAAAAACCTAAGGAGAGTCTGGGATCTCAGCAGGAAGGAAACCAAAGTCAAAGTATGAAGATGATTCAACATCTTGTTAATGTTTGAAACATTCTCATTTTACTTAGTGTAACTGTTGAAGAATTTTTTTTTTTTTTTTAAATGGGTAAAACAATATTGTAGTGTTTTACATGCATTCACATTCATATCTTTTTAATAACAATTACAAACTTGAGATTGCGGCCCCTTCAAATTTCGGTGCCTTGTGTGATCGAGTTCGACACCCCTGCGCATTCTATTGCCTATTGGTGGAAAAATGCCTCGCATCATCCTTTTAAAAAAATCGACATGGTAACGTGAACGTGAAATTGCTTGCTGAAACAGCCAAGAAAGAGCAAGGTCAAGGAAAGAGGACAGAGAGAGATGTCTTTGTTGTTGTTTTTTGTTTGTAGCTGGTGTGTAATACAGTCAGTAATGTGAATCACTGTAGCGCTTAAATTAAAAAGGTTGTATTAAACTTTGTTGTTTGCGGGATATGCTGGAACATGTTTTCCGTTTACATGTGCATTCTAAGTTCTAAACATGGTTGACTAAACACGTTTGTGGGTTTGGCAGTAACACATAAAAATAAAACAACTTTTTCCTCCTCTAGCTTTAAATTTCTCTGATTTTAGGGTGAAATGTGTTATTACAGTATGGAAAAAATACACCAAAAAAAGGCACAGTAAAAGAAAGATCAACTAAAAAGTAGTCAAAACACTACACTGAATAAATACAGCTGCGATCACTTTTTTCCCTAAAGGCAGTCATAAAGATTTGTTGATTTAAACTGTATGACTCAACCAAAAAAGAAAAAATAATAATAATTTGCCCAAAACCCAGACAGACATGCTGAACACTGACCTGACAGTCGGAGTTGAAAAAGGTTAATACCTTTCATTAATTATTGCAGTGGGCCTGAGGGCTGTGTGTAATCACCAAGATAACACAAAATGAAAGTTTTAGCCCTCTAAGAAGGGGAAAGGGGACTTTAAGAACAAATATCCAATCTGGTGTAAAGTAACTTATTTTTTTTTTTATGATGGGTTCATTTCTTGAAATTAAGATGAATTCTAGCTCGCCTTAAACCACTTGGGCCGACTTTTCCTTGGAAACTGGCTTTGAAATTCATACCTGTTGGTTTTTTTTCTTCAGCAGTCCTGCCGTAAAGCAAGGCGGGTCACACTCCTGGTCCAGATCTACCTTCATGAACTCTTCAATCGTCAGCTGGCTAGTGGGTGTGTCTTCAAACTCTGTCAGCCTGGCGGAAGAATGAGTGGTGAGGCTTAATGAGCAAATACTGGCCAAAGGATTTTTTAAAAAAAATTTTTTTTTTAAGGCATGCTACCTTTATCTCGTCACTTTTGCATGGGGAAAAACAGACATAAAAACACAAAAAACTTCCTCAAACCTTAGAGCAGAAGTTTGGAATTTGTTCAAACTCACCTTTTTCTTAGTGTGTTTTCACACACTTTCACCACGTTGACAATTTCTTTGACGGTGCGGCAAAAGTCGTGTAAACGAGCAGCTACAAGAAGAGCTGCAAACGGCAGAAAAGAAGACAGAATGATGAGTTCTGAGCTAGAGGAAAGGCCGTCAAATGGCTGTATGGGCTGCTCCACCAGAATAGAAAATGCTTGAGAGAACTTCCTTTAACAGCAGGTCCAGAAAAGGACTTTGGTATCAGACGTGGATCTTTCTTTGCTTCCGTTTGTACACCTTAAGGACAGAACCGAAACAATGGGGGCCCACTTGGCGTGCTGGGCCAACCGTTTGCCCCAACACAGAAATGCCATTTTGCAGAAAAGGACTAACAACAGCATTAATATTATGTAATGAATTGCTGGCTTTTAAGCGCGGGAATAGTTACGTAAGCGTCAGACTTGCTGTGCGGGAGAATGTGAAAAGACGGATACACGCTTCCACTTTTACATGCGCTCCTCTAACAGCTTTCTGGAGTTAAGTGGCAGCTTTCAGCTCCACTGAGGACTTCCCAAACGTTTTATGGCAGTTACTTTGAAACTATGCAACCATTGCCTTCTTCTCAAAATAGAGTTGGTCTTTGTTTACACCTTTGAAACCTCCTCATCCTTGAAAACATAGAAAGTAATCCATGCTGCAGCTCAAACATTCTTCTACCCTGAAAGAATTTCTTTTCTTTTTTTTTTTGGTCAATAAACACTTGTCAAATTCAAAAACAAACTTTTGCTTCTTCTGCCTGGATGTATCCCTCTCAATGATTTATGAAAACCAATTAATTATTGAGGTAATGCAGCACCGAGCCAGAAAAAGGCAGAAAATTAAAAGAATGTGGGTAAACATTCCGGGAGGGGAGGAAGACGGGGATTTGATTTCGGGACGTCTCTGCTGGAGGGATAAGCCAATTCGGGCTGACAGCATCCGCACGTAATGAGGGAGAAGAAGCACAAGCTCGAAAACTTAATAGCCAAACTCGTAGAGGACGATGGAGAATCCAGAGCAGGCCTGGATCCAACAGGTTTTAACATAACAGGCTTTGATATGATATAATCATCTCCAAAGAAGATGTTGATAGATGTCAATGGAAATGCTCCATAGCAGTTTAGGTATTTAGGAACATTTGCTCTTGAGGAGGATTCATTGTTTTCAAGCTTAGAACTTGGTCTGCCTGCACTTAAAATTCTGTCCTCGCATGAAAAACCTTTCTGTTCACCCACAAACCTGCTCTGTTGACTCTGTTGAGAACATCCTCGCACCCAGATCTGCTCTGGTCATTTTTTCTGTTTGCGGACTGGGGTGAAACATACCCTGAGCCAACAGGAATCCAGATTAAAGGTGACATCACTATCTCCTTATGGGTGCACTCGCTTTAAACGGTTGTTTCAAATTTATAAAACCACGGTTTCCCTATATTGTACATAGTGCTGCAAAAAATAAAACATTAATACGGGTCTATTGGGAATCTATTTTAAATGATTTAAAAGCTATTGAAACGATACATAATTTCCCTATGAGTGTCAATTCAACATACCATAATTTCTGGTCTATAACTCACTACTTTTGTTCACATGCTTTGAACACTGTGGCTTAAACAATGATTTGGCTAAATTGAAGTATTTTTACAGGATAACGTGCCCCATGCTGCCCAAAAATTTAGCCCCATCACATCAGTGACCATTGAAATGACCAATCAGGTCAGAAAAAAGCATTTACCGGTACATTGGACATTTAAAGTTATTTAAAGAATTTTTCTGTGCGACACCTTTCTGTGTAAATATCTCATTTTAAAGGTGGCCACCTGCTGCTTATAGACAAGTACGGCGTATATACATTACAAATGGTTGTTTTGTTTTTTAAAGTAAGTGAATGCAGCTCATATTTGGTGCGATCAATAGTCCCAAAAATACGGTGATAAAAAAGATGTAGATGTAGATTCAGTTTTCAAACTCTGGCAGGGACTGAAATAAAGCAGGGAGGAAGTTGCGTCATTATCATATCTGGCATTCTATTGGCCAAGAGGAAAAGCAAACTGCTCGCAAGTAAAAAGAAAAAAAAAAAAAGAATCTGAAGATAAAAATCACCAGAGCACAGACACAATCTTAGAGCTCTGACATGATCAGATTTGTCTGCGAACAAAGAGGTTTAAAAAGCAAGCGGAACTAAATCTTTGCCTGAAAACAAGGAATCCTCCTCTAAAATGCTATTCACTCAGAGGGATTTACCCTTATATTAAGGCTCATGGTTGTGATTACATCACAACCATCCACTACAGCTACCACAGTCTGTTAAAAAGCGCTCTGAAAGGTTTACTGCTACGTTTGCGCACTGTCCCCTCTGCCAATCCGGCAGATCTTATTAGTGGGAAAAGAGAAAAATCTCCAATGAAGTAAGACTAAAATATCTTTTGATCATTTAGGTTGGCTTGTGAGAAGGTTACATGTCATGAAATGGCAGCCTGATACAGATGCCTTCAACATGTGGTAATATAGCAGCAATATAAGTAATATATATATATATATAAAGTAGAAATATAAGCATGTAGAATATGAAAAACTTTTGAAATATACCAGTCAGATGGGTACTGGATGTCTTCTGGGGAAAAAAAGTCTTTATAATAGTTTGGATGCTACATTCAGGTTATCTATGTTATGCATCTTTCAGGTCTCAAGGATGGTGGGGGGAAATGCTATTTTTTGTTCACAGATTTATTTTCTTGCATCCTTTTCACCCACTATTTCATCACAGAAAAAAAGAACACAGATAAAGCATTGAAGTGACTTAAATGAACCCCTGGCAGAGTGTGTGAGCCTCTTCTATAGTAGTGCTGCTGGCCACAAAGCAGCTTTCTGAGTTTTTGATCTTGAAATGTTTTGATAAAGGGAACCTTGGTGAACACAAACTATTTTCCGCCCTGAGACTGTTTTGTCTCGTTGATCCGAGTCCTCCGGCTGCAGCAAGAAACGCCGTTTGACTGCAATGACACACGCTTCCCCCCCCACGGATCAGACAGCATACGCCTGACGTTGACTCGTCTCCTGGTTACCTGCTCCGCAGAGTCCCGACGGCCTTCTCCCCGTGTGCATCCAGTCTCTCTTCATCCTCTGCACGAGTCGCATGGCTGTCATGGAAACTTCGTGGTTCTTCTCACCAAACTCCAGCAGCTGGGCAAAGCGGGGAATATAGAGGCACGGGTCTGGTGAGAGGAAAGAGATGGCTTTAGACTTAAGAGTCAAGACTTTTGCCCGATTCTGTCATTCCCTCGAAAACCTGAAGGGTTTGAACTCTTATCGTTACCACTTGCCAAAGAAGTGTGTTTTTCCAATCTTTTTCTGGCAGCTCGAAAAACAAAACCATGTTTTATTGGTTTGTGGGGTACTTTCAAGAAGTTTTAAGACACAAAAGCCAACATGTAGCTGAGATTCTCAAAGGAATTAAAGCAGCGTGTAAGTGTGAACATGAGGTGACCTCTGACTTTAAAATGCCTGAAAGCTAAAAACAACCCAAGTCTGCCTTGGTCTAAAAGTGTTATTGGGAGATCTGTTCAGACTTACAGGGCTCTGTTATATCACAGACGCAGCTCAGTGTGTCATTATCCCGCATCCAAATCTTCATCTCCACCCACAGCTTCTCATAATGCTGCATTCACTGCACGTCTGATGTGGGAAGTTGGAGGTTTTGTATTTTGCAATCAACACGCAAGAAGTTGAATGGTCCTTTCTTCTTTGAGGGATTTAACCACACATGCTTTGCTGGTGTGCGGTCTATTTTTATTTGTTTGTTCAGGAAAAGAAAACCCATTTGTTTCACACCACTGCAGACAACTTTAAATGAAGAGGCCTGAGCTGACAGTCTTTATTCATTGTCCCAACTAAATCGGTAAAAGAAAATCTGTCATCTAGGTGGAGTTCTCTCTTACTTTTAATAATTGGTTCATTTGTTTTTGCAGCATTAACCAAGGCATATGAAAAAGGTGAGGCTCTTATCAGATCATTGGTGCACTCATTTTTTGATTGACATCTTCAACCAGATTTTCTCTTTTCAGATTTTGGTCTGACTCCAATGTTTTACAAATGTTGTAAAAACATCATTTAGAGAAAACATATATGATTTGCGTGGCTTGGCTGACTGTCTGTTTACTTGTAGTTATCATTTCATCCTTTTTTTTCTTCTTCAGAAAATCAATTTGCCATCAGAGTAAAAACTTGAAAAACCCTGCTCTTGTAGAATGGAGTTCAAGAGTTTTGTGCCTCTTCTATGAGAGAGGAGATGTCTGCGTATCCACTTAAAGAACAGTCCAGTGCAAATCTGTTGAAGCCAGCTGGTAATAAGATTGGGGCCAATTCCACCTCTTTCCACATCCACATAATGATACGCCTGCAGAATCGGTCACACTTTACTGAAGTCGCTAATGTCAAAAGCAGCCAGGGGGGTGGACAAAAAATATATTAAAAAATGAAAGAAAAAAAAAAGACCCCAAGCTGACCCTTCACAGGCACTCACTTTCATTCAACTCATCTAGATTCCCAAATATGACTTTCACAACCCCAGAGAGGGAACATTTGCTCCTGTCTATGAAAGTTGGGAGCAGGGACCTATGAATAGCATGAATCTTATCATTGGAAAGCTGAGCCAACTCTAAAAGCTAAATGGAATAGATTCTGGTTCATATATGTGTTGTGATGGGTATGTGTTAAGAAACCTAGCGACAGTGATCCAAACACACCTATATTGCTGGGTTGCAACTATGGGACTTGATAGTTCACCCTTTGGACTACAGAATTACATAAAACTGCTCGGGGACCAAGTTAGCCATTGTCAGTTCATTTTACTCCATGCTCACTGAGCATTAGACTGATCAGCTTGATAGAATAATAATTAGATTTGGAACTCTGAAAATTAACATTTGAAATAAATAAAAATTGTATTTCCATTTCTCATTTGCACAGACATTTATCTATATAATCTTTTTAAAATCTTCTTAAATAATGTGGAATGCTAACCACCACACAAGGCACAGACTAAGTGGGATAAAACGACTATTAATTGACTGTAAAAGTTACAAAAAAATACTTCAACCCACAAGAGGGGACAGAAAGTTAACAACAAGCGGATGAAAACAAAAAGGGGCGAAGACAATAAGGAGGCATAAGTAAATAAACTCGTCTATTTGAGGGTCAGTCCTTTCCGGAGAGTTGTGCGTGTGTGTTCGTAGGAGGGTGAGGGGGTCCTTTACTTGTGTGCACTGGGAGGGGGGGTCAGATGCCTCTTGTTCGGCCCCATGCTAATTCTGCTCACTGAGGCAGAAGAGGAGGGCTCAGCACAATGACGCATTCTGCAGACCAGCGGGGGCGGAGCTTCGCCCTTCTGACGTAAGCGCGGTGCCTTAATCCGATTGGTCCACGGGGCGTCCTGGGCGTCCGAGAAGACCCAGACGAGAGAGAAAAAAACGGAAATCTGTTCTAAAAAAATAGAGCAGACCTCTCCAACTCACGACAAATGACTATTTACCTCGAATGTGTGCGGATGTGGCATAGCGTTTTAGTTGACTTGGTCTCGGTCGACCAAGTGTTCGAGGGGGGAAAAAAGAAGGAGAAATATCTGTGAGGATTAACGCAGAGGCGGGGTGTGAAAAAAAAAAGAGGAAGGACTTGAATATCAGCTGCGACTATCCGGATTACTCTCTCGCTGAGAAGGGGAAAACAAACGAAGCTTTCTCCGCCAAGCGAGGATGAGCTGACCGCCAGGGGGAAAGAGAAAAAAAAAGGAAAGCGGGAGAGAGAGAGAGAGAGAGAGAGGCTAAAGTGGTTGTGGTCGAAGTTGGGAGCAGAGGAAGAAACGGGCTCCACCGGGCTTGGACGGTTATTTCCATGTTCCGGAGAAAAACTTCGCCGTAGATGCGGGTTTAAAGCCAGATTCTGCCGCGAAAACCCCAACGTTTTTCAACCGAAGAAACCCCCTATTTTTTTTTTCTAGCTAGCTCCGCACGACCCCTGCAAAAAGTGACTCGGTACGCCGGGAACTGAGGCGGAGGGGGATCAGCTGTTTTTGTGCCGATGCCCACGGCAGACTGTAGATTGCTCCATCATGGCCGGATCATGAGGTGTCTGACCTATCTACTACTGCTTCCAGAAACGCTGAAAAAGTCAAGGAAGGTCGGCAAGCTCCCGGGCAGGCTGCCGGTATGTTATGAGATCCTGACTCTGTCCCTGTCGAGCACGAAAAAGCAACAGCAGCAGCAGCAGGAGAAGGAGAAGATGGCTGCGGAGTTGTACCCCGCCGCCAACACCAACAACCCCAACCTGGCCAACGGCACCACCGTGGCGGACGCAGAGAAGACCAAGGAGGTGCAGGTGTTCCCGGCGGGCGGCGGAGGAGGCGGAAGCGCGGCGACCACCCCGACCGCCCAGCAAAACATCAACAACAACAACGTCGACCCACCCAGCTGGCAGTACAGCCACCCGACGCTCAGAGAGAGGTAACCCCCCGCTCCGGTGGGCTCCGAAGGGTTCGCCGGTAAAGCCGTCGTAAACGTCCCGAAATGGACGTAAATACCCCGATTTGGACGTAAATGTCCCAATTCGGACGTAAATGCCTCGATTTGGCCGTAAATGTCCGTATTCGACGTAAATGCCTCGATTTGGACGTATATGGTCGATTGTTAGCGGTTATTGTCGAGAGGAGGGAGTACGCCGGGGCCACTTTTTTTTTTTTTTAAACCGATTGAGAGGGAGTAGACGTGGGACGTGTATTGAAGTCCACCTCTGTCACTAGTGGGCATCGGTGGGGCACTTGTTTTTTTCGCTTTCCTTTTATGGTCCCTCCTGTCGCTGACTCTCGGTGTTTACGGTGTCGTAAACTGTGCGTGTCGCCGCTTTTGCCGTGCCACGTTTGAATCGAATCCATCTCTGATCATAAACTGAAAACAAATAAGAGATTTTGCGATCGTCGCCGGATATTGGCGCCGGCGGAAGGATCGAGCGAAGACCCACCTCGGGTCGATTCGAAAACTAAAAAACGGAGCCGAAAGTTTGGGGCGCTTTTTGGTGCTGCATTCCTGCTGGGTGCCTGTGGGCGAGCGGAGTGTGGGAGGGCTCGGTGTTACACAACCCTTGAGGGCTTATTTGTGGAACCTGCTTCTTTTAGGAACGCCTTGATGTTTAACAATGAGCTGATGGCTGATGTCCACTTCATTGTTGGGCCCATGGGGGAAGCACAGAGGGTCCCTGCACATAAGGTAAGGTACTCCCTAGGAAAAACAAAATGTGCTGCATAAAAACTATGTCACAGTCTGTACTTTGAATTTTTAAACTGTTTTTTTTGCTTGGGAGTTGTCCAAGTCTTCCAGCGCTCGTGCACAGAAGTAGACCCCAGCTCTTTTGTTGCACTGAAAAGGGGAGAGTGACTCAGGTTGCATGTGTCTCTGATGCATCTGTCTCCTCCTCCTTTCCCCTCCCAGTATGTGCTGGCCGTGGGAAGCTCGGTCTTCGGTGCCATGTTTTACGGCGATTTGGCGGAGGAGGAGTCTGAAATCCATATCCCAGATGTGGAACCTGCTGCTTTCCTGATTCTGCTGAAGTAAGCTACTCGCCAACCCCTCTTCGCACAGTCAACCAGAGGCAGAGATGACAAGCGCAGTCAGTGTCACTTCAAAGCATATTATTACTCATCCATAGCTAAGCAGGGGCGAATGCCAAAATGCTGGAAGCGCCAGAGAGCCGAGCAAACAGCGCAAGGCTCTGTAATTGCTGGTTTTCTCAGCACTCTTTGTTCGACGAGAAACCTTTTTCTTTCCCGGCTTCGGCTGAAACCGTTTCCTCACATACGGATTATGAGTTATAAATAACGCACTTATGTGCACAGTAGCTTTGGGTAAGGCTGCTTCTTTTGGATGCGTTTTGTGGAAAAACCCAGTAGGAGTGCAAAGAAAATTTAACGGTAAAAGATACGGGAGCTCGTGAGATGATAGGATAACAATAAAATAGCTGGCCTGATCTGTGTCTAAACTCGTGGCCCTGTATCTCCTTACTTAAAGCCCTCCTTCCTCTCCTAAGGTACCTGTACAGCGATGAGATCGACCTGGAGGCGGACACGGTGCTGGCCACCCTGTATGCTGCCAAGAAGTACATTGTCCCCGCATTGGCGAAGGCCTGCGTCACCTTCCTGGAAACGAGCCTGGAGGCCAAGAACGCCTGCGTGCTGCTCTCCCAGAGCCGCCTGTTCGAAGAGCCCGAACTGACACAGCGCTGCTGGGAGGTGATCGACGCCCAGGCCGAGCTGGCGCTGTGCTCCGAGGGCTTCTGCGAGATCGACCTGCAGACGCTGGAAATCATCCTGAGGAGGGAGACGCTCAACACCAAGGAGGTGGTGGTGTTCGAGGCCGTCATGAACTGGGCCACGGCCGAGTGCAAGAGACAGGGCTTGGGGCCTACCACGCGCAACAGGAGGGAAGTTCTGGGCAAGGCGCTGTTCTTGCTGCGCATTCCCACCATGAGCCTGGAGGAGTTCGCCAACGGAGCGGCGCAGTCCGACATCCTGACGCTCGAGGAGACGCACAGCGTCTTCCTGTGGTACACGGCGGCCAAAAAGCCCGAGCTGGACTTCCCCCTGACTGCCAGGAAAGGCCTGCTCCCTCAGAAGTGCCACCGCTTCCAGTCCTCGGCCTACCGGAGCAACCAGTGGCGCTACCGCGGCCGCTGCGACAGCATCCAGTTCGCGGTGGACAAACGGATCTTTATCGCCGGCTTGGGGCTGTATGGGTCCAGTGGCGGCAAGGCCGAGTACAGCGTCAAGATCGAGCTCAAGAGACAAGGGGTGATCCTGGCGCAGAACCTGACCAAGTTTGTGTCGGACGGCTCCAGCAGTACTTTTCCCGTCTGGTTCGAGCATCCCGTCCAGGTGGAGCAGGACGCCTTCTACACGGTGAGCGCCGTGCTGGACGGGAACGAACTCAGCTACTTTGGCCAAGAGGGAATGACGGAGGTGCAGTGCGGGAAGGTGACATTTCAATTCCAATGCTCCTCCGACAGCACCAACGGGACCGGAGTACAGGGAGGACAGATCCCAGAGCTTGTGTTCTACGCATAAGCTGCTCCAGACTGCTGATGGAGAATGAGGCTCACCCTCTCCTGTCAGCCTCGAAAGTAATGTAGCATCAATACACTTGAGTAAAATGTCACACTAAATGGCCTGCTTAGCTCTTGGAGGGACTCTTTTCAAAGTGGAGGAGCGGTTTTATCTTATTTAATTTAATATTATTTTTTTATTTAAATGCCGAGCTAACTTTATTTGCTCTGATGCCTGTGTTTAAGGGCTGCAGCTGCTGTAGGAACAACATTAATACGGCCATCTGTGGTTATGTAATCAAAGCTGAGCTCCACAACTGGTAGGGACTGCTTCAATTTGTGTAATTGCGAGTCTACATATAATGTTGTTACTATAGTTCGGGCAGCAATACTACACAATGAGCAGACGTAGTGTAAAGATTCTAAATGCAAAAAAGAAAAAAGGGGGGTGCGGGGAAAGTAGAAATCTTCAAAAAGTCGTTTTTGCACTTCAGAGGATGGCCTCAGCAATGTTGTGTTTTTGTAAACATGCTGTTAACAGCTTGATGCTGTTGAATACGGGATGTGTTCTGTACAAGAATGCGTATACACCTGATAATAAAACATAAAAGTTATAATGTGAACCAAAGTCACATGTCCCATCATTATGGTGCTAAGGAGTGGGCATGTGAGGGGCAGCGGCGCCCTCTGGTAGTCACAGAGCGAACTACACCCGGGATTTGTGGAAACCTGCAGTTATGGCGGGGGCATATGTTTGGATCCAAAGAGTTATGGGCCCCCAAAGAGCTGCATCTATTTGCAAAGCAAGCATTGCTTACAGAGAGAGACGAAGATCCGTTAAACCTGGATACAATTAATTACTGCTTTACTTAAAAAGAGCTTGATGGGATGTTTGTTTTTGTATGTTCGGTCTTATTTTCCAAATCTGTCTTGTGAAAGAAGTTTGAATGTTAAAAGACTTGAATCAATATGGGAATCTGAACCACCAGTTTTGATGAACGTTCCCTCTAAAAATTAGGTGTCACGGTCAACTAAAAGTACAAAGCATGAGGTTCACAGAAAAGAAGATAGTGTAAAGAACTGTGTGGTTAATAAAAGTCACCATGTTCTATATAATCTCATTATCATTTTTCATTATTATCTTTTTTCTTATATGCTGCCACACTGGCAAGATTTAAGATAAAATCAACATGCAAACTAAAATATTACAGCCGTATCTTTTATCGGTTAGAGATATAAGATGGCATACAGATGAGCATTTTGGATGACTTGTACCCTGCTGTTTAAAAGATTCAGGCACTACTATTAAACATGACAAAGCCGTTTATAAATGGAGGTTTTCTGTGACCCCCTGCATCCGTTTTTCAGGGTACCTTGTAAGAAATTGGTTCAGGCTTTTAAAAACTGGGGTACATTTTCTACTTGGTAAAACATCCAACGTTTGAAAAGAAACAATGTGAACCTACTTACTAGTCCTAGACTTTTTGTTCCAAGCAGAAAGTTTTCTTTACAAAACTGGATACGTTTCATTTAAAAGCATTTGTATGGCCTTTATCACTTTCGGAGTAACTCAAACTCAACCCAAGTCTTCAATTTAAGGTCATGGAGTTCCATACAGTAAACACGAGGACCATAAAGTGATTCTGGAGGTTTTGCCCTGCAGGTTTGACACAACTTGAAATGTGACCCTTTGTAGTATGAGAAACCTGAGGATCCTTTATGTAGTACACAAAGAACTGCCAGCCTGACTTAGTTTGTATGTAAGAAAGAAAAAAAGGAAAAGAGGCCTGTGGTCAGTACCTATAGCTGGAGCATTGATGCACAGCTCTCTGGCCAGCAGGAGGAAGGTTTTTCCCAGGACGTAAACGTTCACCTGTGGAGAGAAACATTGGGAGAGAAGAAGTATGAGAAGAGAATCATGTTTAGCCCGTTCAAAGCACAAGATGCCATGCTTTGGAACAGACTGTGAGGATATGAAACGGGGTTGTTGCATCACAGGCAGTTTAAGCGACGCGGTTACATAACCGACTCCAAGGTTGCGGAACATCTCGCCTCAATAATGTGCGATTAAAAGCCCGGCTCGGGTGTTATTTGAAGGGATTTGAGGGGGTCTCTGGAGAACACGTCCCCTTTTTCCCAGTGATTTCTAATCAGCATATCCAAACACTGGGCTCAGATTGGCCATCTTAAATCTGCCCACTGTTTCTAACCGTGGAGCTATCCCCAGTGCCACCTCAAACTGACTGCCTCATAAACTTGGGACCTTTTGCCTCGGATTGTTATTCCTGGTGATTTTTTTTTTAAAGTCAGAGCTTGGTGAGGAAGACCCCATGACCTTCCTGTATCTGAGCGGAGTACTATTTTTGTTATTGTACCACAACAACCTTTACCGACCTCTCCCAGGTGATTGTTCCAAACACAGCAAAGAGAGACAAATGATTATTTTTCTAACAACTGAGAGAAGAAAAACAGGAAAAACGGACTTAAGTGTAATATTTCATCTTTACCAATACTTCAAGATTTAAGCTTCTACAAATGGGGCTTTTAATGATTTGAGAAACCCCTTAAAAGCTGATGAACTGTCAACTATGAGCTTTTAGTCTTTAGGAAAAAGAAAATTAGATATTGTTCTGGTACATAAATGGCAACTGCCAACTAAACACATCCATGGATCGGTTATCCTGTCCATACCCAAAATGTTATCACATGTGTTCCAGTATATCTCAGTTTATAAATAAATAACTTGAATTAATAATTTGGAATGTTTCTGATACAATGCTCAAGCTGACAAACTTTCTTCTGTGGGTCAGTTTGCAGGTTTATTCTGTCAAAAAGCGATTTTTTTAGCAACATTTTGGGCATTTTCCTTCTCTCTCTGGAATAAGTTAAAGGAAAAAAAGTTTTTGGGGATGGAAAAGCTATGACATTTGCACAGCGCCATTATTAAAAAACTTCAAACACTGCAGCCCTGAAGGTAACAGATAAGACGGGGGAGGGATATTTCCATTTGAAACATTCTGGAACAGGATATGATGAGAATTCCCCAGTGCAGCTGAAACTAGGCTGAGCAGCAACCCGGAGACCTGATTTGTAGCAGGGAGAGACGTGTGTATACGGGATGGGGAGTGAGTGAAGGCAATTGGGGCATCGGGGTTATCACCCTGGAACCTCCCATCACAGATGTTTCATTGTATTATAGCCCACAACACCTCCAGAAGGCTCCGCAGTAAATTCCAACATCCACGTCCACCCCCGTTCCATCTGAAAGGACGCAACGATGCTGTTGAATAACAAAGCCACACGTCTGCCGTCGGTTTTTTTCTAGCTCTAACAGTATTGGGGGCCGTAATCTAAAGGATCGGGTCGAGATCTCTGGAGTCAGCCTCTCTTCTGTGCTGAGAGCTGGATTCCAGCAAGGAATTTTTGCAAAAATGAAAAATGGTGGAGGAGGAACAGGAACAAGTGCGGTAAAAACTTTTGGAAGATATTAATCATTGAAGAAAGTGATGCAGAAACAAGCTGTACAATCCCCTACAGCAGCAGCTTTACAGCCTAAACACAGGACCACGTCACTTCTTAGATTCCATACTATAATCAATGAGTCCTCTCCTATATACACATAACTCTCCACATTTTAAAATTAATACATTTGAAAGAACCATTTCAAGATTTTTATCACTCTTTCTGAAAGCAAACAAAATGGAACCATACAATTCTGATTAGGGAAGAGAAATGCTTTGACTGTTTATTTATACAAAGCTATTCTGGGCTAAAAAAACTCCCAAAACCACAACGGTATGCCAGTGCTACAAACTAAACAGCGGGAAGATCACAGAGACAAGCTGGACATAACAGAGCCCCTACTGGGTTTACATTCCAGAAGTGGAGATGAGTGTTTTTTCTATCTTGTTTAACTTGTTCTTTCTTGTTGTTATGCTCCTTTAAAAAAAACGTGCACAAACAGAAAAAACTGCAGGTTTAAGTGAAGCGTTTGGGTCTCCTTCTTGTTGTTCAATCCATCTTTTTAACTTGGCAAAAACACTGTTTTTTCTGCTTGTGTCATTGGGAAAATAGAAGCATAAAAACGGCAAAAAAAGCAACCAAACGGCTCACAACACAAGTATCTACAAGTTGCCTGCTTCATGGACTTAACATTTCTTTAATCGGTTTTGTTAAGACTAGCTCTCACTGCCCTTTATAGCTTGTGGGTGTCTAAAAAAAACAAAAAAACAAAGATTAGTAACATCCCCCGTCCACCACAGGGCTAGGTGAAACTTTCCAGGTCAAAGGTCAACTTAAAACATCCTCCAACCAAGAGTGCTGCGTGGTTACTCAATACTTTGCAGCTCGACAGGTGGACGCTGTGATCAAAGCCTCGGGCTGGACACCATTCAGTTGAGGGATTCCTGGTGCGACCGGTGTGACAGAAGCCGGCTCCAGTAACAACAAAACAGCAGCTCGCCGCGCTTTTCAGAGCTAGACGGCGGGGAATTTTATTTCCAACAACATTCGGGGCTTCGGAGCAAATACTGCCCTCAGTTTGGTTTGTAAAAAGCGAAATGGAGACCAAAACAAATAGGAAGCTTTTCGTTTGCTCAGGAATGACTTGATACGCCTGCCTGGTTCGAGTGCTTATGACTGACTTGAACTAGAACAAAGGTATGCAACTGACAAGAGAGATGGTCTGTCCTTTGTTTTTCAAAGCGCCTGCCCTTGATGCCGTTCTAGTTGTTCCAGTTAGTTGTGTTCAGCAACCAGCTCCACGGGGAATTTGTTTCGTGTCACCTGAAGAAAGTCATGATAAACCTTTGGAAAGGGCAGCATGTGTGGGGGAGCATTCCCACGTGCAGCTGCAGGGACTTAGTGGAAAACAAAAAAAAATTTTGGGGGGGGAGGGATGCCTCCGTTATCAAGGCATTCGGGTTAGAATGGATCAGACAGATGTCACATTTTCTACATATTCAAATTCTGAAATGTTGTTTGGTGCTCTGCTGTCAGATCACAGAAAAACTCCTAATCTTTAAGACAGCTGATATTTAAAGGCAGCATTGATCCAATTCCCATCAATAGCACACCCCCATCCCTCCCCTGCCGAAGCACTTCTGTGAGGATTTGACAAAGCTGACCTCACATTCAAAAACATGGGAGGAAGGCCATGTGGTCAGGGTGTGGATCCCTCAAAAATAATAATGGTGAATGGCGGAAAATAATTGCCCCACAGCCGCAGCCCAAAAGGCTCGGCATTAATAGCTATTCAACCCCACCCACCAAAAATCCACTTCAAATCCACTCCAAGCCTCCAAATGTCAGGCTGTGTGCGGTGGGTGTGTGTGTGTGGGTGGGTGTGGGGGGGGCAACCAGCTACTCCTGGACAGCTGGGAGCGTAAAAATAAATAGACCCCGACCAGCTGTGGCTCTGAGAAATGTCCAGCTACCACTACCGCACCCCCAACTCCCAGTGAATCGGCTTCCATTAAATATGCAGACAAATGGAAAGGGGTTCTAAATTTATACACACCCAACTCAGGTTTAATTATAAGGACCGCTGTGAGCTTGCTAGAGTGCTGAGGGGAGAGCTGCTTTATGAGAATCGTGGCTGGTGGTAATGTGCTTTTAACTGGCTCTCCTGCAACAGGGTTGACCATCGAGACACGGTGCGAGGCAAACGTTTGTTTGAACTCGATGCTAATTTGCTGGATGAATAAGTTGGTACATGTTTTAAAACAAATCGCTTGATTCAGAAAAACGGGAAGCGGGAACTTCCTAACGCTTACCTGCAAAACGTCGCTGAGATCCAGCAGCATATCTGCAAAAACAAAGGTCAAGGCAGCCCAACCGGAGGAATCAGAGTTGGCGAGTTAGAACAGAGATGGATGAGAAAGAGGGAGTCCATGGCTAAACACTTCATTTAAGCCATGTTGGAAATAAGAATCAAATATAAAGTACCTCTCATGACATTATCTCTCTACTGTGTTTGTTTCTTATCACTTAAAAAGAAAAAAGCAGTCGCTGAGACACCTGTTGACTTTTAATCAGCAAGTGTTCGTATCTTTGCTTTGTGACCAATTGTGTTTTGAAACCACCGAGTCACCTGGTCTGATAACTGATATTCTCAGGCTCTGGAGGGGCCGCTTGAAGTTTGAAGTGCAGCTTCATCACAAGGTTCGCTTTTTTACAGCTTCGTTTTTGATAACATCGTTGTGGGGAATATCAGTGTGGATAATGAAAGTGGCTATATCGAATGTTAAACCCTTGTAGAGCTCAGGATTTGAAAAAACA